TATATTTGTGTCCCCTTGTCCTACTATTCTCACTATTAGATATGAAAAAAGATGATGCATCAACACTATAAATTTTCTTTACAATCTTAAACACCTCAATCAGACCCCCCCCCCAACTCTTCTTTTTTCAAGAGAAAACAATATAAGAGATTTCAACCTCTCTTCGTATGACAACCACTCCATCCCAGGTACCATTCTAGTAACCCTTCTCTGAACCCATTCCAACAATTCAATGTCTTTCCTAAGGTAAGGAGCCCAAAACTAAACACAATATTCCAAATGTGGCCTAACCAGTGGCCTATACAATGAAATTATAACCTCTTTAGACTTGTATTCAATATTTCTGTTGATAAAACCTAAAATCCTATCTGCCCTACCACTAGCAACAGCACACTGCTTAGATGGCTTTAGAGACTGATCGACTGTTACACCAAGATCCCTTTCCTTCATAACACTATTAAGGTTATTCCCATCCAAATTATACTTATAATTCAAATTATGAAGACCCACATGCATTATCTGTCATTTATTTGCCCAACTCACTATATGATCTAAATCCTTTTGTAAATCAGCAGCATCCTTTTCACAGCTAGCAACACCCAAGACCTTAATATCATCTGCAAATTTATGTCATTGATGTAAATCAAAAAGAGCAAAGGTCATAAGATTGAGCCCTAATGTACCCCACTTGTGACATTAATCCAGTTTGACTGAACACCATTTGTAAGAACCCTCTGTTTTCTTCCATCCAGCCACGCTTCTATTCAATTTGCTAACTTATCCCCCACACCTATAGAGCTAATTTTTTTACAAGCCTTTTATGTGGCACCTTGTTAAATGCTTTGTGAAAATCCAGATACACCAAATCTACACCCTCATCTACATAAGCAGTAATCTTTTCAAAGAATGTTAAAAGATTTTCCCTCAGTGAAACCATGTTGACTATCCAATAAAATTCTAAACTTTGTTAAATGACCTTGCAAAGCATCTTTTAACAGAGTTTCCAAACTTTTTCCCACAACTGATGTAAGACTAATGGGTCTATAACTACTGGGACAATTTTTATCACCTCCCTTGAAAAAGAGGAGTTATATTAGTTAACTTCCAATTCTCTGGTACCTGCCCACTATTAAAGAATAGTAAGTGGTTCACATATCCAATCTTTAACCTCCTTCAAAACCCTTCGGGAAATATTATCCTTGCTTCCACTCATTTGATATCCAATCTCATACTGTACAGCTCTGGGTGAGGATCCTGTGTCTGATGTGGATCAACCTCCTTTTATGTGCTTCAGATATATTTCTTCCTCATCTTCCTGTTTTGGAGCTATCACCAACTTTTGTCTTTGCCTCCTCTCACACTGTTTATTACAGATGCAGGTTGATCTTTTTCCCTGTTTTCTACAAAATTTAGATGTTCTGGGAGGGTGATTGGATATTTTCTTCATTCATCCTTCTTTCCTTTTTCTTTTCCTGAATGGTCATTCCAGTCCAGCACATCTACTTTGTTTTGTATGGTGTATTCAGTATTATCTTACTTTTACTACTATTTTTTAGGACACTTGTCAATGTATTTTCTTGCATTTCAGATATTTACTTCAGATAGATTCTCACCTCTTTGCACCACCTCCCACCCTTCCTCCCTACTTGTTGTGTATTTTGTTTTCCTTGTCAAGAATAAGCCTTTGTTGAAATGCTAGTGCTCACAGGGATTATTGTGCATGGAGGATGTGTCACCCTTGTATTGGTGAAGAGCTATATACTAATGATGAGTGCATCATAGGCTGGCAGCACAGTATGTTGACACTTAAGGGTGGGACTTTTGTTCAAAGTTTTTGGCATGTGCAGGAACTTACACAGCAATATGTGTGAGGTAATAACTCTTTGTGGTGCAGAGAGGTATCTATATGAAATATATTTTCAGGTAATGAGCATTTTAACTTGCATGTTGTATACTGATTGAATGAATATACAATGGTAGTAAGAAATACATTTGATAATAAGTATATCATGCTCAAAATAAAATGCTTGTTGTGATCATTGAAGTCAAGCAGTATTAAACCTATATTGTACTTTGATAGGTAGCTACCTGGGAACTTAAAATGCTAAATATATATGTATAATTAAATTAGTATAAAGTGCATGTTAGATGTTGGATTTTTAATCACCAATAATTATCAAATAGTTAAAAAATTAATGAAAAACCTAATATGAATTCTGATTAAGAAGTTAGCACACAGGATCCCATACAAAAGTTGTAATGATTTTGAAATGAGACTCAAAACTCGAGAGCTTTCGAATAGTTCACTATTCATCTTCAGGAGAATACAGAATAATAATAGAAAGCTCAAAACAGCAAAAGTTTGGCCATTGCAATTAAATACCTGCAACAACATTAAATAGTTGTTATAAAATTAAGTCACTATTTGGATATTTTACTGATTAAACTTGAAGTAAGTGTATATGATTACTTTCTATTTCTTGATTAATCTGATAGACTAGAAAATTCCATCGACAAGTTTAATGAAATCAGTGACAATTTTACATGAAATTTAATTTTCTTTCTTTGCAGATTACATGAATTCATCTTTTTGTTCTTCAGGTTTGCTTTTCTTAGCAACAGCATGTGTAAATTTAAACCAGTGTAAGTTTTGTATATGTATCCCATAGGCAGGGTTATAGGGAGTCAAGGGGAGAAGTTACCCTCATTTTTTTCTGTTATAGTATATACAACATTCACAATAATTAAGTCGGAATCCACACCAGTCATGCACACACACACAGTTTGGTCCAAAATCCCACCCATGATGTGTTCTTATATAACCTCCAATCTTAAGTCAAATCTCAATTTTTATCTGTAGCCTTAATATTTACTCAGAAATACTGAAACTTTAATAAACTTCATATAATTGCAATAAGGAGTTTTTATAGAGCATACTCCAGTGGTGTTTTATTTCTTCAAATAAATCAAGAAATATATTATATGGATGCTGTAATTATTGTTCTGTTGATAAGAGAATTTTATTGTATGGGGAAACCTTATTAGATGAAGGTTTTCAGAAGTCCATACATTTATATGCAGATGTGTTGTTTGTATAAGCATACAATAAAATCTACAAATAATGGAAAGTCAGTTTGTGCTACTGATTGTTTGTCATGCATTTGTTTGACTATTTGGTTATCTTCTTAATACTTAGAAATTCAACATTGTTAATAAAATATTAGCTGAGTTTCTGAATTCTATTTAATTTAAGGTCTCTGGTTAAGTGTTTATAGGAATTGAAACAATGGGATGTGCTGTAGAAATAAACCTCTTTCACTTATACTGTCATTGTAAGCACTATAGCTGGGTGTTTGTATAATCTGTGTTTCATCTCATTTTTTTAGGAACAACAGAAAGAGTATGTCTTGTTACAGGTAGTGTAGATGGAATTTTTCAAGTTCACGAGTTCATAATGGAAAAGATCAGAGAAAAACCTGATCCTAATGCTAAAATGGCCATTGATTTTGATCACAAGCAACCTGCAGAACGAGAAAAGCAGGTAAAATTATTATTTGTATATAATATTAGCGTGCAGTGAGCAAAACTATTTGTCTTTGTACATATTTAATTATATGGATATAAGTAAAATAAAAACTGGTTAACCCTCAAATTACTGACTTGTTTTTATACTGTTCTACACCACTCATAACAGATGAGGTTCACATATTGCATCCTTGCATTATTGATTACATTTTTCTCTACATTTTTTTGTGTGAGTCTTATGTTATTATGGACCCACAGTAATCAGTAATTCTAGGCTACAATAACCTATATTGAAAGTAAGTATTTGGGAGTATTTTAGATGTAGGCCACAACAGTTTCATTTCACATTTTCAACCAAATATAGTCACAGAAATGAGTTGCTAACTTAAGCTAATTTATCCATGGTTTTTCCTTATTGTAGCTACAAGGATATGAGAATACATACAAATACAAAAATATAGGTAAACATTGAAAAGAAATTATAGTAGACAAAAAGCATGACAAACTGGTGAAAAGGGTTTGAATTCAAATTTCTCTCTCTCAGAAAGTATTGAAAAACCTTGTTATATCATCCAGATGAATTAAAAAGGGTTCATGTTTTTACCTAAACCATTTGAAAAGATACAGTAAAGACAAATATGGGAAAAGTTTTTTTTATTCTGAAATAATTCAGAGATAAATTTTCTTTCCTAATTAGGTAAGTTGAAAGTAAATGAATTTACAAAATTTACAAACACTAGAATGAATGAAGCTAAAAGACAACTACTTTACAATAGTCTAGAAATTTTGTTTCCACTAATATTCATGTATTTTTTGTGAAAAATGTTAAACACACATGCTAATCTAAATTACTTGAGAAAATGTTTTTTAACAGTGTTCTGAATACTGTTACAACATGATGTACATGTAAATTGTAAAACTTAAGTCAACTATATTTAATGTTTATAACCAGTAACTACCTTGCTGAGCCCAGTACAGTTTTACAGTAATAGTTTCTCCATGTTAAAACTTTGGTAGTTGTAATTTGTTTTCATTATTTTCTTGCACATTATAATACACGGTTAACCGTTATCTTGTTGGAATGATTATCACGTAATGGAGTCAATGTATGTTATCCTTTCATCCATATTTTACTTGCATATTGCACAATTTGCACCATTTGTTACATAAAAGCAATAGATGCTTACAGCTCTAATGTGTAACTAATGTATTACTGAGGCAATGGAAAAATTGTATTAATTTTAAGAAAATAGCAAACAACATATAAAAACTTTTTCATTATTATTAGAATTTTAAGCAACTTTTCAGTCACTTTTGTACTCATGCATACTTAAAATTAGCTATATAAGTGTGCCATGGTTTGAGATTTGTTTTGTAAAATTAAGAATTATTTTCAGCAGTTAAGTATTTTTTAACAACTTGTATTATTTTGTGACTTTTAGGCTTTCTAATACGAAAAAATGAATATAAACTTTACCATTTCCAACGTATTTTGAATGTTATAGGTTATCTAACAAGAAATTTCATTAACTGCATATCTTGTAATTTGTAGATACTTATATAATGAAAATAAATACTTGGTTGTAAATAAACAAAAGTCAACTTTGTTAATGATGGTGTTCTCTGTAGAATATTACTTGACATGATTTATTGTTTGTACAAGTAAATTTCGTCTCCTGGTGGGACAACAGTAAGTCTTCAGATTTACAATGCTGATATCAGAGGTTTGATTCCCCTTGGTGGACACAACAGATAGCCCGATGTGGCTTTGCTATAAGACAACAAACACACCCAAATAAATTTCCAAGAAGTAGAGTGAAATTTCTGCATATTATTTCACTGTCATGAATGTTATTTTCCTCCTCTTACTATTTTTTCTATTTTTCTTTTATTATTGTTTAATCAACAATAAACCAGTTTTAAAAAAATTCATTTTTGCTTGTGTAAAGATAAAATAGCTAAATGTACAAAACAAGTCAGATACATGTAGTTTATCATTATGAAACTCAAGTGAATTAGATACAACTTTTTTACACTTACTTATATATTAGTGCAAGGGAACTCGTTTTGTCTAGTGTGAGTGACACACACATAAATTGTGCTTGCACATAAATTTTCGATAACATAACTAAGTTTAATAATAGAACTAACATGTCATTTCTGGCAGCTATAATATTGACCATGACTTGGATTCCAGTCATTGGTACACATCTAGTGGAGTAGACAACCACTCATCATTTTGCAAACCAATTTCAAGAGTAACAAGATTTCAAGGTCTGATCCCTTCTATTCCTTTTGTGGTGCTACAAAAATTTCAGAGTGGATCAGTTAAGTTATGGATTTGGCTCTTGACATGCCAAGGCAGATTCTGGATGTTACTTTTCACAAACAGCTATTGAATGGGGCATGTTGTATGACTTGGTGTATTATCATCCTAAACAAATGGTGGTCCTTCCTCATAGACTTTCATCATTGGAGTATTGACTGGAAAGTTAGAATATGGCAAGAAATTAATAAATTGCTAAACTAAGATCAGTGGTTTAAGTCCATACAAGTTAAAACAGGCTTGTATCATGATATTAGCCCTACCATTCATCATGGTTCGGATGCCATAATCATATCAATCTCTAAGTTACTGTCCATCTAAATCAAATAACAAGTATTAGTATTCATAGTTACAAATGATAATTCATTGTTGTGATCAGTAACTTAAGAACTGCAGCCTTCTTTTGTAAAATCAAGGAGCTTGAATCTCTATAAAAAAAATGGCTGTACTGGCCTGCAGTCCTGAACTGTCATTAAATTTGTGGGTATTGAGCTTAATGCCAGATGTGAGTTTTCATTTTACAAAATATTTCAATTTGTTTGGACTAAGGAGTGATTAGTTTAGGAAAACTAGGCTTTTATATTTTACATCAGCATGGTCATTGATCTTCTGTTTCTTCAACACAGCCCACAGTTGACTTGTTTCAGTAATGGTTCATCATGACTTCAACTGGCTGTGTTTGTGACAGTGGATCATGGGGTTTACATATAAATTCATTGAAGGTGGGCCATTTTGTAGCTAATGGTATTCTATCCCATACTTTGAGTAACATCATGTGTGTGTGTTACTCTTAATTGAACATAATTTCTCATATAGGATAATTTCCATGCCATGAACAGTCAAGAACTGCAGTTTTGAGCTATAGAAATTTTATGAAGTTTTTGTAATTGATATAATGTAAACTTTGTGTAATCAAAAGATGATTTCATAGAATAATTTCATTTTGGGTTACAGAGAATTAAAAATGAGAGAGGTGAATGTCATGTACTTTAATCTAAAATTATTTTTTTTCAAAAGGTATTTTTTATATTATTAACAGCTTTCCTTGTTTCAAATTTGGTTTTGTTACTTGATTTTTATAAAAATAAAGTTCTTGGAATTAAAAGAATACCCGTATTATTACAAATATGAATGGCCTGTGTGGTTACTGATTGTTCTTTACTAATTTAGATAGTTCATCTGGATTCAGCTCCTCGAAGAAAGGTAGTGATAAATTTAGGACTCTTTGGTTAGTTTAGCATGTTACAGTAGATCGTGATGACCAGTGATGTAGTGGAGTTCAAGATGGGCCTATGCACCCCAAGCATTGTTTTTTGTGAGGTTGGGGAAGCCCTGGTACTTTTTCTGATTGTTTTATTGTGCATTATTCATTAGATAAAATATATATGTATAAACTATTTATTTTTGTATAAATGAATGAAGTATACATGAGAATAATGAAAAGAGGAACGATCCTTTGGCACATTCCACTTTGAAAACTGATTTTTGTACTGAAACATCACTCCACATCTTCTGTTTTTCAAAATCCTATATCCAAGATATTTGTTTTAGGACTACACTGCTGGTGACAAGTATATCCCTTTCTAGCAAATAGTGGGATATTCAGATACTTTCAGTAGATGGTAGTGTGGTGTAGAGGTATTTCCAGAAGTTTGTGGTATGTTAAGCTAACTAAAACTCTTCTCAGTAAACAGTGGTTGTTGAGATACTGAAGTATAAAGCTAATTTCAATAGGAAAAGTTTAGCTGAGTTGTTCCGAGTAGATAGTTGTATGTTGATGAACTTGTATTAGATGCAAAGTAATGTCAGTATTTAACTTTGGCTTTCATGGACACTTATTAAACGTTTTTTGTATATAAAACATAAATCTTGTATATAATATCTAATAATTTTTTTTATGTTGTTTGTACAATTATATATTATTAACGATAAAACAAGTATTTGTAAGAGATCATCACCTTTTTTTTTTTAATACCCTCATTATTTCTCTCCTTAGGTAAAAATATTAGTTCCCAATAGCACTGCTGGGATGATCATTGGAAAAGGTGGAAGTTACATTAAGCAGATTAAAGAAGAAAGTGGTGCATATGTGCAAGTATCACAGAAAGCTCGAGATCATGCATTAGCTGAACGGTGTATTACAGTCATAGGGGAAGTAGAAAATAACAAAAAAGCGTGTGAAATGATTTTGGCTAAGATTATTGAAGATCCTCAGAGTGGTAGTTGCTTAAACGTTAGTTATGCAGAAACATCTGGACCTGTGGCAAATTTTAATCCTACTGGTTCTCCTTTTGCTGCTGCTAGTAATATTCAAGGAAGCAGTGGAGTAAGTGCGAGCAACACAAGCTACAGCTCCAATTGCAGTCTCAATAGTCTAAGTCCAACTATTAACAACAACTTTGGGAGCCCCCAAGGAGCAGGCAATCCGACTGGAGTGGTGCAGTTTTCAGCCGGTATGGGAATGAGCATTGGTGCTTCAGGTAGCATTGCTCAACTAATTGAAAATATCAAAGCAATGCTTGGTGGGAATGGATACTCAGACCAGGCTACTGCAGAGATCACAGCAGCGATGCATACACTAGCAAGTTATGGAGTGCTAGGATTGGGACTCAGTTTGGGAAGTATGTTAAATAACATGGGTGGAGCACCAATGATGAACAGCATGGGAATTAGTACGTCTGCCTCTAATAGTTGTGCTGCACTTCCACCAAGTGGTTTAGCCAATCAAGGAATGTTTACCTCAGGCACAGCAATTTCTGCCATGGATGGTTCCTGCCCCGTAAGTGCTGCCTCTACTGCATCCATGGGTGGAACATCCAACATGTTTGGTACACTTAGTGGTAACATAGGGAATGGCATATCAGGATTAGGACTTGGTCCAAATTTCTCCTCACCCACAGTCAGTAAATCAGGTGAAAGATATCTTTTTCAAGCAGACCAGGCAGTTTATGATCCCTTTCGAAGAAATTCACCTGCCTTGGGATCTCCAGGAGTGCCTAATTTACCCATCAATAACAATTCCTTTGGTCTTGGGACAAGCTTCAGCCCTGGTTCCTCATTTCTCCAGAAAAGCTCCACTCCCAATGATCGTCAAGTAGGATTTGAATCAAGTAAGCTAGAAATTGAAGTAGGTGAAAATATTGTAGGTGCCGTTCTAGGTCCTGGAGGAAAGTCTCTGGTTGAAATACAAAGATTTAGTGGTGCAAATATTCAGATTTCTAAGAAAGGAATTTTTGCACCTGGAACTCGTAATCGAATTGTGACAATAACAGGATCCCCTAATTCTGTTAGCACTGCACAATATCTCATTGAGCAGCAGATTACTGACGAAGAAGCTAAGAGAGCTCGGCAAAATTCCATGGGGCCTCTCCATTGATATATTCAGTCAATTTCGTCCATCAATCCTCCCCTCTTCTCCTATGTCGTAAGTCTGTGGCTGCATTCACTAATATGACTTTTCAGTGATCTGGCTCATCAGGGTTGTTGCAAGATTTCCAACACATTCACATTATTCCTCACAATGCTTCCCCAAAAGAGACATGCTAATTAAGTTGCTGTTAATTACATATATATATTAGAGTTTTTTATCATTGAAAATGTAATATATGTAGCATTTACTATCTTGTTCTTGCCACCACCACCCCTCCATCCTCCCATGTGGAAATTACATCCAGTTTGGTTACTTTGTTGGTATTTTGATGTTTGATCATGTTATAATCCATTATCTACATAGATTAAGAGAGTGTGGTTAATTCTCACTATTAGTAAGTGTTATATTGCTGTTGTTTGACATTGTTCACTATTAATTCACAACACAGCAGCAGCATTTAAGATTTTCAAGATACGTGTATACAACTAAACTGATACTCTCTGTGTTGTTTTCATTCCTGTTGTTGTTAAAGGTTTGTATACTGTTATTGTTGAATGTTCCTGAGCAATAGTACAGCTCACCTTAGAGTTTATTGACCACAGCAAATCATAGCATAGTGCTCATTGATAAACATCAAGAAGAAAAGAGTTCTGTGTGCTTTTTTTAAATACACGTGTAAAACATTTATATTAAAAGGATGCTCTTTCGAGATTTTGGAACACAGAGAATGTTTATTATTAGTGTGTTTACATAACTAATTTTTCAGTAAACACATTATGAAAGAATTTGCTATTTAATTTGCATAAGGAAAGAACTTAGTTTTTTTCTAACCTCCTAAGTTAATTTATTACAAAAATAAATGATTTTATTTTTTTTAATCTGTAAGGCTACATTTTTTGGCATCTAAAATGCTTGTTTTACATTAAAAGTATCTTTTATTTTTATACTTTCCATCAAATAGGATAATTTGTAAATCTTAACTGACTTAGGACTTGTTATAGTTTTGTTGCAGAAAATATAAAGATGGTGTTAATACAAAGAAAAGATTCTTGCATGTGTTAAGAATGTCACTCTGTGAAATTTTAAAATGTCACAGAGCTTATTGAATAAAGTAGGTACTGGCTTGTAAATATTCGCTTTAGTCAGAATAGAAGAAATATGTGTACAGAACTGTAACAATTTTTAAAAAATTTAGTTGCAAAAGTTTTTAAGATATCAATGATTTTTAGCATTCCCCCAAACCTTGCATTTTTTGGTTTTGTCTGTAGGGTTAGTTTATAATTACAGATGAAGAAGCCACACATTTTACCATTACACAATACACGAGTGTGCAGATTGAAATATTAAACATAAACCGTCCTTGCACAAGGATTTTGAGAATGCTTCCATCTTTAAAGCTCATAATTGATTTTTTTTTATCTGCTTTATAACAACTGATATTTTGAAAAGTGCACACTGAAAATAAATCTGAATTAGGGTGCCTGTACAGTTTATTCTGTTCTGTGGATGTGTGTGTGTTAAAACTGGTCAAATCTACACTGAATTGTTGATTCATTATTATAAATTGCAATCAATGAATTTTAATTTAATGAAATCATGGATCTTATATAGGTTTTTCATTCCTTATTTAGTAAATTTACTGGACTTTTAAACTTCATAGCTTAATTCCTTGCAGCAAATATATGCTCACATAATTCTGAATCCATTCATTAAATTTTTTTATCATTTTAAAATGTCACACATCATTGTTGATAAACACTTTGTGTTGTCAAAATAGTAATTTTCTATACTTACAAAATTATACATTATCAGCACAGTCATTGTTTTACACATGGAGTATTGTATGAAATTTTATTGATAAAAAATTAAACAAATAAGACATTTGTAAATGTTTTTAATTAGTTGTTTTTGTTTTTTTTTCTCTTCTAATAGTGATATTAGTTTAATGCTTTTGGAATTCATCAGTTTTAACATAAATCACTTATATAGAATTATTATGAAGTGAATTCATTAGAGATTGTTAATGTATCTAAAATTATAAACCATAAGACACTCAGATTGTTATTTTTGAAAGTAGGTGATGATATTTTCTCTAGTCCACTGCTGTGTTTTTAACGTGAAAAGTTGTCTGAAAGTTAATGAAAGATCTATTGAGTATAAACATGCTTTCAGTGTTGTATAGTTATGATTGACATTTTTAAGAAAAGTTTGGATTGAATGATAAGTAGAGATTCTCATTTTTGTACATGCCTGTGATATTAGATATGAATTGTTGAAATAAGTGGTCTGTGGAGTATAAATAAATATTTCCTTTGCTGCTTAGTTGTTATACCTGGGATACTAGGAAGTCAAAGCAAAAATGGAAAATTTCATTTAGAATTTTGACAGACTTGGATTATAATCAACACCCCCTGCTAACCTTGAAGGTGCTTTGATAAACTATATTAAACAAAGTAGCTCACTGATTAAAATAACCTTTCTAATTAGTATGTATGTTGGTTTTAATCCTGTCTCCCAGTTAATCTAGTTTAATAAAATTCAAGAATTTACTATGTGTAGAATCATAGCATTTTAGATTTAAAATTATTTATGTGAATATAATGTTCAAAGAGTTATTTGGGAAATTAAAATTTTTTCTGTAGATTTTTCAAGATAAAATAAAGATGGAGTATAGGATAGAGCAGAACTGATTTGTATAAAATATTTTATAAAAACCTCCTCATTACATGATCAAATGATCTATCCTCTTGTTGAAATAATTTTGTTTATAAATTTCATTGAATTTTGACAATGTAGTAAGTTTGTTGTTAATTGATATGAAGAAAAGTTGGATAAGGAGAAAAAAGTGAATCTTGTGATAGTCACATAAAATTTATTAGAGAATTACATATGTATTTTTTGCTAGATATTAACTTTCTTCATTGTGGTTTGACTTTTGCTAAAGAGTGACCATTAAAAGAGCCTGGTGACATACATTTTTTTTCAGTAAATTCTTAAATCTGCCAGTGTGAGAGACCAGGGTAGATAGATGTTTCAGTTTGATTATTGAATCATAAGATCAATAAATAGAATATAAACATCTCTGCTCCATAAGCATGTAATCTACTACTGATCAAAATATATTTGTATAAACTATGCTTATGTTAATCTAGAAGTCATTTGTTGTTATAAAACATGGAATTTTCAGTGTTGATGCTCGCATCTATTTTGAATTACTCTTGTTTCCAGTTGATTTCTGTTGACTCATCTGTGGTGGATAACTTCTTGTTTTTGTGTTAACACATTAGCTTTGGATTACATTTTGTTTCCCTTTGTCTTCTGAGTTAATACTTTCACCATGGATTAATTTTTGGTACTCTTTGACCTTTGTGTCAACACTTCAAATTTCGTCTTATATTGAAGTTAATCTTAAGTTGTTGTCTTGGAATATTTCATCTTCTTCTTTCTGTGAACTTCTTTGTTTCCTTGTGTCAACACATCTGTTTTAAGTTACTTTGTGGGTTTTTTCATTGTGGCATTGTTGGATGTTTTTTTGAGAAATCTACCATATCTTTTGTTTTTATCCTTGTGGTATCTATATTTACACAATAATGTTTGAAATTTATTTTTATTTTTCTAGTCTCTGTATTAAGAAATTAGTATTGAATTTCTTTTTAGTTTTCCCAAGGTAAATATTTAGATATATATTTCAGAATTACAAAATGAAATATATTCTAATAAATAAAAAGTAAGTAATATACCTGAAGTTGATACTGTTTATAATTTATTCACAAAGATATAATTAAAGCTCATTTAGAATTAAATAATAAATATTTTTGTGAGCATGTGGATGTTATAGGGTTGCATGTGCATTTGAGATGTTTTAATATTTTAAAGTAAAATAAGTGCATCTTATTGCATGTTTATTGAAATAGCTAAAATGACATTTCTTGATTGGGCACTGAAAACGTTTTCATAATTCATCTTAATTATTATGTTACTAATGTGTCCCTTTGAAAATATTTTCTCATAAATGTTTTGAACAAATACTAAGAGGAATCTTGATAAAATGTATGCACAATTGTATGTATATATATATATGTAACATGTATTAGTAAAAAAATACTTATTTTTATTGGACCAAAAATAAGTATATTAGAAAATCATAAAATATTTATTCTAATTTAAAATTTGAATATTACTTAGTGTATGAGGATTTTATTCTTTAGTTTACAACTTTTTAAAATAAACAGCAAAGACAAATTTGTTTTGTCAAATAATTAATAGTCAAACAAAATTTGAGTTCTGGTTTAATAGACTATCAAAAAAAGTACCTCTATGGATTTAGTTAAGAAATAAAAGCTATTAATGTAAAATATGTGTTTCTATACAGGATATTAATGGGATGCTACATATATAAGTCACAGCACATTTGGTTACAGTTAAAATATTGATTTATTATTTAATTAATTTTTGGTCTTTGCATCTCAAAAGTTGGATAGTAGTACAAACATGATATATTAATAGTAAATTTGATGTTTACTCTAATCTGTTTGTGAGGAGTAATATTACAAGTTGGTAATCCCAGTTTACAACAGAACTATAGGCTGAATCAAAAGTCTGATCAAGCATTTTTTTTTTCTTTACAAGGTATTATTGCAAAGTTTATCAACAAAATTTTGTGTAGCTTTCATCTTTAATTATTGTTACATGCACCTTTAACAGAATGGATTTGTGTACTGTGAAGCAGTAACTTCCAAAATCCATTTTCAGACATAAAAATAAATGCCATTGTACAGTATCTCTTCCATAATAAATGCCATTGTACAGTATCTCTTCCATAAGTCATATCTCTTGTGATACGACTTGCGGAACTAGTTGAAAATAGGAAGTGTATGTTGATATTGACTGTAAATCATGTACGTTTTTGTTTCATACAAATCCTGTTGAAATATGCATTCATGAAACTCACAACAGGGAGGAAACAAGAAAAATTTCAAATCTATTAAAATAAGGGAAACATGAATATGTTCAAAATTTCTGGAGGATACAAAATAGATTGTAAATATTAGGCCTGACACTGTTTAATATTTTCTGAACTTAAGAATCTCAAGATTATTTGTGTAGGATTGCAGAAAAATAGTATTATGAAAATTTTATAAAATCTGCTTCAATAATTTTATAAAAGATGTGTAATCAACTCCAGAAAATAAAATGTGTGAGAGTGAACTAAACAGACAGATTTGTTGCCACAGACTTGTTGCTTACTGTTGCATGTTGAAAGTATAGGGCCCTTTCAACAACTGAGTGTAGTAATTTTTCATATATTTTTTTATATGTAAAATGAATAAAGTGAAAACAAAGTAAATCAAAACACTAGTAAGGTCATGCTGTTTAAAATAATTAATAAATCTGAAATTACATGTCGTTGAGACTAGTGTTTACTTTAATGTAAGAGGAATAACTTTCAGAACAAATTGCATGAACTTGTTGCTTTTGAAGGAGGTAAAATAATAGGAAATTCTGGATATGTGTGCCTATGGGTTCCTTTGTATAGGGGACCCATGTGCTAGTACACCTGTTTAAGATGCACACACCTTGGCAATGGCACTGCATACAGAATTGCAGCTTGAAAATTGCATTTTGTTTTTATAGTAAAGTTTTGAATAACTTCCTAAGAATTGATACGTAAATTATATTGATTTTCAAGAGTGTAGTTTCAAGTACAAAATTTGAACTAAACTGTTATATAACATGAGATGAAAGTCACATATTTATCAGGAGAATCTTGTGAACTTGTTACTATATAGCTATGTAAATTTTTAGCTCATCATTTGTTCTTGAAAGAAA